GTGGTTCCAAAGAAAGATGCTATGGATAGAACGCGTGAGCAATGACGAAGTTATAGAGGCAATGGCAACAAAAAGAACACTTATACTTAACATCAGAAAGAGACAGTTAAAATTTCTAGGGCACATAATGAAGAAAGAGGGCTTGGAAAATTTGACACTCACGGGGCATATCAAAGGCAAGAGAGACAGAGGAAATCAGCGTATAACCTACCTAACGATCTCGTGTAAATGGCAGAACAAGTTTTAGGAGACAGAAAAAAAAATTTACTAAGATCTACAAAGTACAGGAAAATTGTGGCAACGTCCTGAAGGTACATTTCACATACAAGAAGAAGAAGAAGATGAAGAAAACTTCAGCCATTAGTATGAGGCTATTAGAAACAGCACGAATTACAAAGAATAATCTCCAAGCAAGAAAACAACTAAAATTCAATTGAAATACATACTGTTAAAAAATTAATAATAGTTGATATTATGCTTCATCTAATAAAAATTAGAATCAATATAACAGCGAGCTTGCTTCGGAAAAGCACGTGAAGCGTTACGAATATGGCCGAACAGGAAAGATGCGTTGACAACATGATCTGCTATTTCTGTGTTTTTCCTCTTAAATCTGAGCAATTTAATCGCTATTTTTAAATATATATATTATGGATTTATGATTGATTTTTTATGAGTAAGTGTATAAATTAAGAGCAAAACTTTATACTTTATTTCAACATCCGGTAAGCTTTCGTCCCAAGAGAAATATGAATGGGGATCATATTGACCCAACAGTCTTTTATTTTTATTTTTTTATTTTTTGTTACATAGCCTGAGCTTTCAGTGAGTTAAGAAAAAGCATGATGGTATATCAACTAATTGTATTGTTCTGGTCAAGGATAACCAGTTTATAAATCAAGTGAATGGTTTTCTTTTAAATAAATGATAAAGAAAAAAGTTAAAAGATTTGCAATAATGAAAATTATCATATGACAAGGCAGATATTAACGACGGCCAGTCAAAGAAAGCTATTGTATAAAGTACACCGGTGATTTGGATTTACATCAAAATGTTTCAAATTGCGCATGCGTAGTGTTTTATTGAATGGCGGATCATCCCTCGACTGTAAAGCGGAAATATTCATTGGGCGGGAAAGTTGCCAAGCTTGCTTTACAACTGTCTTGATAGAAAGCCCGCCTCATTGTATTATCACGTATTTATTGTCCTTATAAGCATAATTGGAATTCGAATGTAGGTCTTTTGTCAAATCTATAACAGAACTTTCTTTCTTTTTATGTGCCATGTCCTTTCGGGACGTAGGCGATCATGTCTCTCCACCTCCCTCTATCCCTTGCACCTCTCAGCAATTTTCATCCCTCTGCTTCCTCCCCCAGACCACGTTCAGTCATCCACCTGCTCAAGCTCGCCAGGTATGTCACGCGCTGCTTTATCTTGTCTCTCTTTCCCACTATTCGACCCGTGAGTGTCAGATTCTCCAGGCCCTCCTTCCTCATTATGTGTCCCAGAAACTTCAGTTGCCTCTTCCTGATGTAAAGTATAAGCCTCCTCCTTGTTTGCAACCTCTCTAAGACATCATCGTTGCTCACATGATATCCTTATCATCCTTCTGTAGAACCAAATCTCCATCGTCTAGAGTATCTTCTTCATCTTTGAGAAAGTCAAAATCATTCACTGCCGTAAAGAGGGAAAAATGTCACGTAACAGCTCAGTATTCTTTTCTTCGTTACCAAAGAAATCCTCCTGTCTAGCAATACTCTGTCCAGCTTTTGGAATGTGTCCTTGGCTATCCCAATACCTCTACGGAGCTCATTGTCGCATTTACCGCCCTCTGCCAAGACGCTTCCCAGCAAAATCTACGTATGATTTAATATGATAAAGTTTGGCTATGTTATTTATTGGGTGAAAAATACGTTTGTTTCAAGTGTACACGATATATATATATATATATATATATATATATATATATATATATATATATATATATATATATATATATATATGTATATATATATATATATAGTCGACTCTTCCGTCGAATTCGACGTATGAGGATCAAGCAGATCAGTTTCCAGGAAACCGACAGCCCGACAACGGCACATGAGATTTGATTATAGTAGTGAAGGTTTCGTGCAGGACTATCCACACTTTTGAAGGGCTGAATACAGAGACCTGGTGCACTACGTACCACAAGGTTCCCAAACGACCCTCAGCAGGTTTTGAATTCAGAGTTGTCCTTCTGGACCAGTTGCCACCCAAGGCTATAGAACCCAGTCTGTCCTGCTATTTTACCCATAGCTGGAGGGAGAAGAAGAGGATTCATACCTTTCCCAAGGGTCTTAGCACGTAAGTGAATGTAATGGATTCGAGTGGTTAGAACGTTCCCTTTCTGACCATGAGATCCATGGTCGATTTGTCAGGAAGGTGACTTTTTGATGTTATCGGTCTGGGAGAGACGATCTCAGCGTGCAGCACCTTTAGAAAGTAGCTGAAAACAATACCACGGATTGCCCCAAACCTCGTGAGTGAAATTAGATGAACGGACCCTTAAGGAGCCGTCGGTGGTTGTGCTAGCACGATGTCATCGTGACCGAGGGTTTGAGCGTGCTGGCCTTGTTCAGACTGTTGATCACGTTAGATAACGCTGTCTCTCTCAGAAACTGTAACTAAGGTCTGCTCAGCATAGTTGCAGTATAAACCAGAGGTGAGCTCTGTGGGTGTTGAAGAAACGCAAATGTGCCTGAGTAGGCATCTGAAACAGGGATTAGCTATCCGCTCTAGTAGACGGGCATCCTCGGATACGAGTGACCAGCCATGCATTCACAAAAATATATAAGATAAAATTTCTAGCCTGTTTGAAGAGATCTTGATCCTGTAGAAAAATCTTGCACTGTATGTTGAGTGGCACAAATCTACATACGACCTAAAAAAAAAAACACCACGATATCTGTTGCTAATAAATAGAGATTAACTAAGAGTAGCTTAGATGTAGAACAAGGCCGCAAGTATGGAGCCCCCAGAGAGGATCGAACTCACTACTCAGTCACAACCTAGCGTGACAAACTTGCTAAACATTACACCACGTCGACGTATTCCTGTTGCGCGCAAACATATTTTATAGTTACACTGCAGGTTCAGTATTGTAAAGCTGTTGGTTTGTATTTAATTTATACAAATTAGCCTCGTATTCGTCAAACATGACGAGATTATGTAAATATCGATCGACATATCTACCTTTATATTTAGCTCTCTAGGCCTTTTGTCTTTGAGGCGCAAAATGAAGTTCAATTTCAGGGGAGCCGCATCAAGCATCAACGTCTTTCGGTAGGGGTCAAGTTTATGTCTTTGTCACTTGATTCCAAAAGGAGAAGTAATAATGTGGCTGGATTATTTTCGGCTAGTCCTGTGTATATGTGGGACTTCCAACTTAAAATCGGCTTTGTGCCAAATTTTGATAGATTTAAATGTGCCACTTTAATTAAAAGAGAAAGCAATTTGCTAAGTCGAAAGTGTATAGAAAGTGCTTTGATCACTAAATCATATGCGGTAAATTTGCGTCCAGGTTCTTTCAACATTTCATCTTTCTTAAAAGAAATTTTTGAGGTGAAAAGGAGACGCAGAGATAAAAAAGAAAGTTAAATATTCTTCTCTTGCTGATAGATTTTTTTTACTCCTGTAGTAGTGGAGACTTCTGGGGTTAGGTTATTGGGCCTCGTTCGATGGCGTTCCTTCAGAGGATTGGCATATTTGCGTCTCGATTAAGGGATGAGCCTACGCAAAACGATGTGTCTCTTGCAGCGTGTCTAACTGGCGATGGTTCGAGGTAATGCTTTCTCCATCATTGTGGCTGGCAGAAGATAGCAAAAAAATTGTTTATAGTTACTTTATCCATTATAATTATTTTCAACAAAATGTTCACATACTTTGATTCATTCGACTGTCAAAAAGACTTGAGAAGGTTTAAAATTTTTAATAAGGCTAGCACGCTCAAACCCTCAATAACGATGGCTTGTGACTTCGTGCTAGCTCAACCATCGACATCTTTCGAACGGTTCTGTCTACCCGATTTCACTTACAAAGTTTGGATTAACCCGTATTATGATGTTCAGGCACTTTCCAAAGCATTTGCCGCGGTCTGGAATCGCCTCCCCAGGTCGATATAATCAAGGTCACCTCCTTAACAAGTCAACCATGGTTAGATTCGAACCTGGACCTCATTGCCAGAAAGCGAACATTTTAAGCATTCGGCCACGCCCACACCCATACATAAACACACACACGCGCGCGCGCGCGCGCTCGCGCACACACGCACGCGCGCGCTCGCGCACACACGCACACACACATACACACACAAACAAACATACTGAAGTGTTAGAAAGTTAGAGAAAAATAATACACTGAATGTGTCCACTCTCCACCTTACTTGTAGAAATGAACTTAGACGGATTGTGTGTGTAACATAAAAGTTAGTGAACACAGAACTCCATGCTGTTTAAAGACTGGATGATTGTTGTGGCAAGAAAAATAGATCACTATCTCCGACGTGGCAACTGCTCTAGGTTTTCCTTTCGCAACAGTAGTAACAGCATACCAAGAACGTGTGAATTCAGTAAAGACATTTACCACAGGTGAAAACCGCGTGTACTACTACTGTACTGTACTGATGCGGCATTCACCCTGGGTGGATTGAGCCGGCTTCTTCCTGTTATGAGAAGAAGATTCTTGGGATAAATTACAGAAGTAGGGTACCCAGGCCTACTCGGATAACGTTCTTGCTTGCCGCGGGGTTCCCACAGACGCAGAAACAGGAACGACCAGAAGCCGCCGGTTACCGATACAGACGCTCCTTGGATTTTCACCAGAGCCCTTGTTAGCCGGTATGTGTGTCAGACCTGTCCGCCTTGGGTGGCCCTACCAGGAACGAAGTTCCGGGCGGCATAGCTCTGACACTACCGTTTACACCCCCCCACCGACTGTGAGGTAAGGGTTGGACTTTGGGGGCTTACAGTACCAGGTGTTCCCAAGCGGTCCCCCATCTAAGTACTGACCTGGCTCTACGCTGCTTAACTTCGGTGATCGTACGAGAAAACCGCGTGTGCCCATAAATGATGTAAGAACAAGACTACCTGAAACTAAAATGAATGGCAACCACTAAAAAGGCGTAACTTTACATCAAATATCATCCAAAACCAACACTGGTGCCACTCAACCATCATTCAAAGATTTGTACCGTAAGTCAACTCATAGGGTTTATAGTAATTGAAAAACAAGGGTACCATTATTTACACCACGGAATCGGCTACTGCGACCTGCCTGGGCTCTATTAAACCTTGGAAGACTGGTGCCATATTTACTGTTTAAATGAGTCCTATATCCAGTACTTTCGTGCTGATAGTGGAATTCGTGCGTGGAGGAGAGCGCATGAACCTATGGATTCAATCCGTGAGCAGTGTTGCGCAAGCTGATGTGGGCTCTGTAATCGTATATATTCTGTTGAAATACTAGATGACTAGTAAAATTAGGGTTTGTCTTGACATGTATAAAAATCTTGAAATAAAAAAATCCTTTGCACGACTTTATGTTTGCCATATATCCCGGTGGTGATTTTTTTTCCAGTAAGATGGTCTTATCCCCACCCAAACCTTCGGCGACATGAAACTTAGGGATACTCCCCTGGTCCCTGCTAAATTTAAACCCCCACCGAAGTTGTAGTGATTTTCCAAGCATAGCTTAGATGTGGTACAAGGCCGAAAGTAGAGGTCATCCAGTGAGGATCGAACTCACTACTCAGTCGTAACTGTTCTACCGAAACAAGTTTGCTAACCATTACACTGCCTCGCAGCTGTATAGGGTATGCTGCAGACATCGGTAAACTTCTTGTAAAATTTTAAGACCAAAGATATTTTTTTCTGATTGTTTATATTTTGTGTTTCACTCTATAAGCAAATTTTTTCGATTCACAGCTTAGAACAAATTCTTTTTCTTTTTCACGTTCCAGTCGTATACCATTTATTTAATTTCCTACTAATTTTTTTTTTTTATGGAAGTATGGAAGTATATTGGAACAGTATTAGAAATATCTGATGATTCCCTCGGTTGTACATTGAAATCTTTGGCAATATCCGTTTCTGTATAACCGAGATTATTCGGATATTTCCTGGATAGAATACCAAAGATGTCCACCCTTTTCCACCACAATTTTGAAGTTTTCGTGTATCAGAATATTTGATTATGACTTTTCCATCATCTCTCTCCCCTCCTCTCTTTCTCTTTCTCTCTCTCTCTCTCTCTCTCTCTCTCTCTCTCTCTCTCTCTCCATACACACACACACACATATTACTCATTCACTCAACAACTCATTCTATATCTCACTGTCTGTCCCTCTCTTTAAAAAACAAACGCTTCCGTTAGAATATCGGCCAACGATTTCGGCTGTATTCAATTTCCTGTGGCAACCCGCAAAGCAGAATATTCAAATTTTTCGTTTATTTCACAAAAGAAAAGAATCTCCAGTCATTCATTCTGAGTCATATCTAACATCTTTATTCTTATGATAGCAGAGTGTTTCTTTTAGGCATCTTCAGAAATGATGGGTTATTACTGTTTACAAAATATCAGACATCTTCGTCAACTTCTGCTGTCCGTTAATGGATATTTGATCATCGTTATAGCTTTTAGGTTAACACTTGAGAAAATGTCTGTAATATTCTCTTAGTTTCCAAAAAAAAAACACATACATGTTTATTTGCCCTACAGTGAGATATGACTGTAACTACGTAGGACTCCCCCACTGTCTACCAAAGATCTTCTGCTAACGACCACCTACATGGCACTGCTAAGAGCAATATAAAAGAAAATAATGCAAAGTCAGTTTTTCTGTTTTTTCTTTGAGTCAAAGGACGCCTTAGAGTGGTGGTTCCCAAACAGTGGCGACGCGCTTCATAGGTGCGGCGGGCTAGAATCAAAAACAGTTTCAAAAAATTCATATGTCAAAAATAAGTACCATTTCAAAATTCAAAATATTATAGGGATTACTTGTAAATCAATGCATGGGTCCCATATAAATAGTTATAAATAATTATTGACCGATTTTATCATTGTGATATTTTTGCATTATATCAAGTATTAAGAACATAGTAACTCGGATCCGCAAATTGGAGGAGAGAGTTATCAATGATAATGTTCTAACTTCAAATCCACGGTTATCTTCCTTTAAACCTCTTTCTGGTTTGTATTTTTAAATTTATTTTTCATCACATTAAATTTGGTGAGGCGTAAGTAAATTTTCATTCCGTAAACGTGGCCCAGAGAAAAATGTTTGGGAATCACTGCCTTAGAGATAGGATATTTTTCGATACCCACCCCCACCACAACATCACCACGATGGGTGGGGTGACATTTTAGTTCTCATCGATGCCCTAAACTTTTAAACACGGACATATTTGATAATTCAATCAAATCAATAAAGAAATGTGAGTCTCGCAGTTTTTCATAGGAATTTTGCATGCACGTACATAAGAAAATGGTGATATCTACACAAACATCTTCATTCACCTCTTTTGTAATCTTCCTATTTAGTTTTACGTTACTTCAAGTGTCCCGTATCCCATTAGGTTTTTTGTTGTTATTCAAATGAAATGTAAAACGTTTCCCTAGAAATTCAGTTAAAAAGATGGCTGAGGTGACACATCGACTGAAACATTGTCGAAAAAAAAACCCCAAAGATAAGCAAATTCAAAAAATTAAATGTCTAATTGTAAAACATTGTTAATCTAGGTTCTCCAAAAAAAGAGATAAAAATATGAAAAATCTGTCAGGTTATGACATTTTTAAATCCTTAAGACACTTTCAGGACGCCCTGAATTAGCCGTTTCCTTATAAGGAAACATTCAGTATTCATTCACCGAGCAGTTTATACTGCTGTCGTTTGAAATATTACAGCTATTCGAAACCAATAAAAATGGTAGTATTAACCATTTCCTTATAAGGAAACATTCGGCATTCATTGATCGAGCAGATAGTACTACAGTCGGTTGAAATTTATAAAATCTTTCTCTGGAATCAATTTTTCAGGAAAATAGTTTCCTCAAGCCCAGTGGCTGTTATCACCCTTCCAGTTTTGACGATTTCCTTTGAAACTTAATTTGAAGTAGTGTGGAATGTCAATATCTTGATTATGTCATTATTTTCTCTTTGAGTTAGATGTTATATCCATTTTAGCAGTGCCAATGTTGAAAGTCCTCAAGTGATGCGGTTTCTGGTATTTGGTACAGTTCTTTGTTTGTGATTCTGTAGCGCCAAAAAGTGAGATTAAAATTCTGGGATACATAATGAGAAAAGAAGGCCTAGAAAATTTGACACTCACAGGACATATTAAAGAATCGGAGACAGGGAAAATCAGCGAGTAATGAGTTGTGAAAATGGCTTGTAGAACAAGGAGAAGAATGATAGCAGATAGACAAAAATTGCTTAGAGCTAAGGAAGGTGTGGAGAACTATAATTGCCCACGTTCTAAAGGGACATGGCATACAGAAGAAAAAAGCTTATTTTAGAGACATAATATAATTCCGTGTGTCCTCTGATAGAAGTAAGAGACAAATGGTTCTAAATAAAAAGACGAATAGAACTTTTATAGGGATTCTATCGGATATAAAATGGGGAAACTTTTCTGTTGCTATCAGTTAATAAATTGAATTCACCATAAGTATTACATATTAATTGAAAATATATATTTAAATACCCACATGTGAAAATATTTTTTCTTCTTCTTCTTCTTCTTCTTCTTCTTCTTCTTCTTCTTCTTCTTCTTCTTCTAATAATAATAATAATAATAATAATAATAATAATAAAGGACACTTATACTTAACATCAGGAAGAGACAGTTGAATTTTATAGGGCACATAATGAGATAAAGAGAGCTTGGAAAATTTGATACTCACGGGACAGACTGAAGGCAAGAAGGAAGGGAGGAAAACAACGCATAACCTACCAAGCGAGCTTGAGTAAATGGATGGCGAGGCAAAGTTTGGGAGCAATAACGAAAAGAAAAAAATTATTAAGAGCTACAACGGACGAGAAATTGTGAAGAGCCATGATCGCCAACGCCCTGAAGAGACAGAACACATAGAATAATAATAATAATAATAACTAGTCCACCCATAAAACTGTTGGGTTCCTTGTAAAAGCAGGTCATAATACAATATGATGAGATAACAATATTATCAATTTTATTATTAATTGCATATAATCTGTATTTGCACTACAATTATTATAATTATTATTACTCACATTATACAATATTACTTAGATCAAACGCAATAATAAATTAATAATAATTATATTTTTATTATAAATACTTGTTTCTTCCTCACGTTTATTTAAAAATACGTAACGGCGATAAACCAACGTGCATCTATTTATTTATTAACCATCAAGTCATGTGACACAATTTCCTAGCTATACAGATACGTTTTACAATGACACACCTACATAGCGTCTTCATATATCTAGTAGCAGCCAACCATCCAAGATCTTTGTTCATAAAAATGTTCTAATATAGTGTAGTGAATTGTATAAATATATGTTGTGTTATGTATATTTGAATTTATTTAATAATGTTATTGTCATATATTAAGCATGTTTTATATTCTTACACACATAGTAGTTGGAATATAATATGCAAGTGCTTGTTTATTGATATAAGAATGTGTATTGAAAACAAATACTGGATTTCCTATTAAAAATGCCGTAAAAACATAAAAAATGGTCATAGCTCAAGAACCCCTTGTCTAATTTTAATGAAACATTGCACTGCACTCGGCAGGAGATCAAGGTATAATATGCTTCTAAATGTTTGGGGTGGGGTGTTATGTATGGTTTAAGCTGTATCTCGGAAAAACATATGCATACATACATGCATACAAGATTTAAGTTTTAGTATTATAATTATAATAATAATTACATATAAATTGATCACGTCTGTCCTGACGAACTGGACTTACTTTCTCTTTTCTCGATGAAAACAACATTCTTTTCTTGGAACAGAAGGGATGTCGGAGAGGTTCATATGTTTGCAAAGATCAACTATTGATAAACAA